GGTGCTTTGCCTTAAATAATTTCATAAGTTCAGTATATAAACAAATTCATGTGACTACATCATAATTTTGTTTCCACCAATTATTTAATGTGTAAATTGTCATTTGTTGGGCATGGACTTACACACATTAACAAATCGAAATCACTGAGGAATTTAAATAATAGTTTGTCAGCATAACTCCTGCACTGAATTTCCTGAAACTTTGTAGGTATTTCAGACATAATGTATAGATTTGTATATTACTAAGAAATTTTGATTCCATTATTTATCTAGAAACTTCAGCCCAATTAAATTTGTAACATACAAAGATTTGATTGTCCTTATATGCAAGAAGTTTTGATGTGATGATTTTTTGCAAGTAATGCCCCTTTTTGAATTATACTGTGTATTTAAAATGCACTGTACCGTTCATTACGTGTTGCATTGTCGAGTTTTGGGGAAGCGTGGGGTATCTGAGCTTGCTCACTTTTTCTTTCATTTCAGTATGGATGATATGATGATTGTTGCAAATTGATATGACTATTCAGGATCTTGCTGTACTTGAGAAGAAGGTTTTAACAATTTTTCTGTCTCTATAATTGTTCATTAAATTTCAGTACTGACAAGTGACTATAGGGGTATTTATAGTATGGATACTTTGTGTACTCATTAATTTTATGGTATATTTTTTTTGGAAGTGTAGTCACAAGTCAAACTAGATAAATATGCATAATTTGCAATATGTAATGGAGTAAATCAACAAAGTCAAGTACCTCGGTAATAAGTTTATCTCATAGAAGATTATAAGTAAGATACTCGTAAAAAGATGTCTTTCATGAGTGTGAACAGAATACTGCTTGTTTCAGTCTCTAGCTCGTAAAGCATCATGCCACTAAAAACTTGTAATGTCTTCTAGACTATGGAGACCCATTTAATGCACAGATTTGTGCACATTTTTGCAAAATTCATTTGTGCACATTTTTGCAAAATGCATTTGTAACAGTTGTACATGCTTGATGTTTCAAGATTTTATTAGAGTTATTTTGTAATTCCAGAGAAAGTTCATATGAAAAAGCATTCTAAGAGTATTGCAACAAGCAATATTAACTGAGTCCCCTACTGCTATAAAGGGCCATAATTTCCTGAAAAATCATCGAAGCAGAATGAAATGCAAACTATGTCTGTTAGTTAAGATGGACTCACAAACCAATTAGGCAAACAAAATCAGCTCAATATTACAATGCAAGCAACTAGGAAAAAAATATGGAAAACCAAGTGGGTCAGACTGACAGAGAGACAGACAGACAGATGGAGAGGGAACTAAAAATGTTTACATAGTTGACTTGCCCTAACATATATTAATATTTGAAACCATCACACTTAAAGACAATCAAATAAACAGTCCCTATTCATTTATAAATTAGGAATGATAGGTTATTCCAAATTCAGTCAAACCTCGATATCTCAAACTTAGTTATTAGGCTAAGTAAAAAACTTTGAGATTCAGAGGATTCAAGGTATTGAGGTAATAAAAAAAAGTGACTGGAACTTCCATCTTACTTTGAAAAAGTATTCATGACAAGATTTTAATTCAGATGTTCAAAATTTGATGTAAAATTCCAAATCTTCATGGTAAAATTGTATTTTGGTTATTTATGAGCAAATTTGTATTTATATGTTTGTACAGATGTATATATATGCTCAAAATTGACTCTGCATGATTTTGTTAGGGACATGGTATGAAGTTTTCCTGAAATTGGAATTGACAGTATGATCCAAACAAGTATTGCTGATCAAGGAATTAAAGTGCTTCAAGAAATCTTTAGCAACAGACTACTTTCTTTTATGTGACATATTAATGCACAAAATAATTATCAAAGACAAAGCGAATATAAACTCATTAAGAGTCTAAAGAAGACTGTTTCAAATTTCCATTAACATTAGGTAAAATTCACATACCTTCATCATAGATCAGCAGTATTGTAATAGAAATACAATTTTAAATTACCAGAAGAGAATATCCACAACATTAGACAAAGTGTGGTAAATGGATGTACATAAGAAAATAATATGGAAGTAAATATAAATATTAATTCAGACAAGATCCTGCTAAATCCATCTCTTTTTTTTTTTTTAGAATGTCACAAAAACTGATGAGGCATTATGAAACTTGAAACTTCTAACATTATAAGGCTAGTACCTTTAACACAAACAAAAAGACGCTCATTATTTTTTCTGTTGAGAATAGAAAGTGTTTTATAGATATTGTATATATAATTCATAGAGACAGGTTGATGGCATGCAGACCAACGTGGTTTGAAGTCTTTAGAATGAAATTTTTTCTGAAAGTTTAATGCAGGACAAATTTCAAATCTTTTGTGTATTCATGATATGTGGCATAAATTGATTTATTTATTTTCAGAATGAAAATGAGAGAACCATTTATTTTAAACATAGAAGTTGCAAAAAATATTTTTTTAAGTAGACAGTCTTTTGTGAAGCAATGGCTTAGAATATAAAAATACAAAATACAGTTGAACTTATCTCGAACTTCTATATCTCGAATACCATGGATATGTCCAAGTAAGTTTAATAAAGTCCAAACCCCATTTTTAAAGTAATTTAACCTCAGTATCTCAAATCATTGGATATATCTCAAAATTTTTTCTTGGTCCCATTGTGTTTGAGATAACGAGGTTTAGTTGTATGAAGAATTTCTTATAATTAATATATAGATAATTTATTGAGATATAATCAAAGCTGTTAAGGTCTCAAGTGAAAATGGAACAAAGCACTTTATCTGAAATGTAATTATAATTTTAAAGTTTAAAATGTGTAATATCATATGGTCCATAACAACTGTTAATTACTTGGTGCTTAATTGATAATAAACAAACTGTAGACAGGAGTAATTCATTTTCTTGTGTAAGATTCATATTTATTTATTGAAATATATGCTAATTTAAAACAAGTAAACAGGTTAAAACTTTCCGTTACACTAAGGAAGGTGAAGTATTCAGTATGTTAGAAACAATGTGATATTGTCCGCAATTCCTGTCTTCAGTGTATTGAAAAAATAAGTGTATGGTTGTTTTAATTTGTTTGCTTTGAATGTCAAAATATTTGCAAATTGGAATATTGTTCATTTTACTTGAATTAATGACCACAAATTCATTTTTTGGCAGCATTGCGTACACCTCATTTTCTTGACAAAATGAGTAATGCACTAAGCTATTTTTGATGCCAAATTTGCGTAAATTTCTATGTGAAAAATGATTTAAATATATTTTGATGTTTATACTTATCTAACTATTTGTCATTAATTAGTTTAAGAAAATGTTAAATGAACTTGAATAACTTTTAAATTAGGTTGTGCCATTTTCATGTGTAATTTTTCATCACAGTAATTGAATTTCTTCTCCTTGGCATTTATATTGTTTACAAATATTATTAAATGATTATACATTAAAATATGTCAAGAATTCAAGGTATTTTGTAAAATATCACTTTCATTTTCATGCAATATAAGGGTTGTGCCACATCACCATTTTAAAAATGGAGGTAATTTTAAAGGCATTTACCTAACACCTATTGTCGTTTTCTCTACTTAAAAAGCAGAAATTCACACCTGTCAGATATGTACAGGTGTTTCATTTGAGAAACATATATAGATATTCAAATCAATTATTTGAAAAAAAGATGAACAAATTTTAAAAAAAGTACACTGAAGCTGATGCATTAAATAGTTAAAAAAGAAAGCGATTTAAATTAATCCTTGGATGTTCTAGCTGCTCAATGTGTAGAAATCACTCTAAAAACCTCCTATGACATTCGACTAATGCCATAAGCCTATGGACATGGTTAGGTAATCAGGGCAATATGGTGTTTTTGATGTCACCACTTTAAAAGAAATTCACATGAGAAGATGGTTGTACTTACATTCGAATGCTGAATCCTGCATAGCCAGAATCGCATTTACAATTTTTGTGGTGACCACGGTTACCAAAGCTGTGTCTCCCCGCAAGACATGAGGGCGAAAGGTTTTGTGGCTAACAGATTTGCGAGAGAAGCTCTAACGACTAATAAACACATAAACCATAAAAGATGATTTTGGAGATGCGGGTGTCATGCGCCCCTCGTAAGGGAATGACATATAGGCAGACAGCAGTGGATTGACACGGCGAAGTCATCTTCTATAGAGCACTGGGTCGCAGACATAAAACATATTTATACCAATTGCTGTACCAAGGACATCTAGCCTATTTTGTATGTTTTTATCTTTTGATTGTTGATTTTGTTTGTTTGTGCATGCAGTTAGCTTTGTTCAAAGTTGTGTAAATGCCAAATATGTCGATTTGAAGCAGGACTTGTCATTGCGAAGTGACGTGCTTTTTTTAATTTTTTAATAAATGAAGAATATAGGAATTTTATTCATGTTGTTCTTGTTTGAAATCTATTTTACTTTCAATTAACTTATAGAATGAATATGCATTGTTAATTACTGACAGGCAGAATTTGCATATCTTAGTGCATCTTGCATCCAAAAGAATGAATGAAAGAAAAGTTATATAATACATATTGACATTGTGCAAATAAATTTTGATTGTATGATTATTAATGAATGATAGAAATAGATTAGAATAAAAGTAGAAACTTAGGCATTGAGGAATTTCAGAAATAGTGTAAACAAACAAAAAATATCCATATGAAAATGAATCATGGCTTTATTAATTTGCAGTATAATGTCCGATTTTATAGTGGAACTACAATGTAACACTGCTGAAAATTACCTGCACATTTTTCAAATTCTTAGCCTCAAGTGCAGTCAATTTAATTAGGATTGAATTTAAAATTGAAAAAAAGAAACAAAAATAAAACAAAACATACAAACAGAATCTTGTTGCCCACTTTTAAAGGATTATTGCAGAAATTTTGCAATGCAGTTTGTTGAGGATCGAGTTTGTAGACAATACATTTGATGACAGAAGTGTTATCATGAAGTTTTTTTTTTCATGTTGTAGACTGAGATGAATATTTCCAAGAGTGGCTGAGTGTTTGAATAAGCAGGATTCAAATCAGTAAGTGTAAACTCAGATATGAAGCAATTGATCGAAGTACTTCGGCACTGGCAATTAAGTGTCCTCTCTCTTATTTTGAGGAAGTGACTTTGCATGTTAAGTCACTTAATATGAGTTGGATGTTAAAAAAAATATAAGAGCGGAAATGAAACTGTTAGATGGGGGTAGGAGACAAAATAACTGGCATTCCACATTGTGTTTGACCGAGAATCACAATAAACAAGTATTTTGTACCAGAAATTTAGCAATTGTTTGCATGGCATTGTAGTACAATTGTCACTGACTTTTTGTATTGGGAAGTTTTCTTCTAAATGTAGGACATTTCCATGATATATGAAGGTTGAAGGGAAATGGAATGGAATTGGAGGTTTTCTTGTTTAAGGGGATGAAGAAAAGGAGGGATGTGAATGTGGGGTGGGGTGGGGGGCTTAAGTGCTTTTTTTTTGTCTAAGGGGATGAGGACATGGGTGGGAGGGGGGCTTAAGTGCTGGAAATTGATGGATGTACAGGGGATAAAAGTTGTATGTTTCATACATATAGAATATGGAGGAGCAAATGTTCTGAGAGAGTAAGAACTGCAATAACTAGATTTCATTTTAAAGGTTTTTTACAGGAAGGCCAAAATATGTTTATTCCAGATATCGTATATACTCGCCTATAAGTAGGTATTTTGGTCCAAAACTCTGTGTCCGACGTATGGGTGAGTCCTAACAAAAATCATTTGGTATTTTACTGGATTGCGAAATGTAGCATTTTTCAAACAACTCCGATGATTATCACTGACAAAAGTCTGGACGTATTATTTTATTTATGTATTCTAACATTATGCCTAAAAATACAAGTAATTACATATTTTGATTATTTTTTTTTATCTTAAGTGTGTACCATTTACTTTGTTGATTATTTACATATCTAATTCTTTAGTAACTGGCTACTTACTGTAAATCTATCATTTATAGTGTCACAAAATCGAACCAAATTTAATTTACTATCGATTATCAAATTGAATCAGTAACATACAATTGATTATATGATGGATAGTTTGAACTTTAATTTAAAGGTTAAATTAAATAAAGGTAACCATGAAATATTCAGATATCCTCGTAAATGAAAACAATATTTTAATACAAATACTTGAGACCAGCTTCAGTTTATGCTTACTAGGAAAATTTGTCCACCATTTGCATGAGAAATAGAGAAATGTCCTTTGATAATGTTAAAAGATAAACCAGTTTGTATGAAAAAAATATTTAGAAAAAATGTAACTACTATTGATTTAAAAATTTTCTATTGATTGTCGCCAACGTGCTGTCTTCAGCTACGATTTTTCGATAGTTGGCGTGAGACTATCGTAAAAACACTAATCATTTATCAGTAAAGTTGTGATTGCCAAATAATCATTATGTACCTTCATATATTTTTGATAACTTAATATTCATCTTTTAAAAAATAATTCAGAATATAATTCTTGACTATATTAAAAATGTTATTTTTAATGAAATTAATTGTTTCCTGTGTACACAGTCATTTTATTGGGGCGCATGCCACTAAACACAGTGTCTGGTACATGCAAGCGACATGGGTATAAGACAGTAATTGTTTAAGTAAACAAATGAAAACTTTAGCATGATAGTTGCCAATAATAGATCAAGTGTAGCATTTATAAAGTAGAAACAACGAACATGGCTTGGACATTGAGCACCTCGTAATTATAAAATTTCATCATTTTTGAAAAATATTAATATTTGGAATATGGGTTTAAACATTAGAGCATTGACTTAAAATTGTCAACCCATTCTGGCAAAAAGTTATACCAACTAATAAGCGAGTCAATGGCAAAAACCTCCAATAAAAGTTGAAAAAAAGAACCGATTTACAGGCGGACCTACTTATAAGTGAGTATATGCAGTAAGTAGCCTGTCTATGGGTCTATGAGGAATTAATGCAAGATGGAGGGTAAATGCTTTCTATTTTCATCATCAGAATTTTATGGAATCAAAACATAAGGAACATTTTGGTCACAAAGTAACAGAAATGGTTTCGAATCATGGCAGGGACGTATATATACCAATGGGATAGGCAACTTTTAGCAAGTCTTGCGATATATCTCGTAAGTTCTGGGATTTCTGATGACATTTTCATAGATATAATATATCTGTAATGTTATCAATATATCAGGAAAAAACCTTTATTTATCAATCAAAAAATTATTCAAAATTTGTCATTGGCACTGTTTATGCTGATCCTTATCTTTGTAAACTAATATAATTATATTGTAAATTCAAAATCAACACATCCACAGATTGGCCAGATTTCCAAGAATTCGCAGAATTTGGTGGCTGTTTGCTTTATAAATTAATTTATTTTACAATGTATGCTTTAAAATTTATCAAAAATTCATCTCAATAAACAATAAGAACAGATAACATTTATCAGAAAAACTTTTAACTGGGAATAAACGTTATTTGAAAAAAACGTAACGTTTTTTGTGTGACGTTTTTGGAAAATAAACATGGTGCTGGAGAAGTTGCCTATCCCGTTAGTACATATGTCCTTGATTATGGCTACAATATGTGTAGGAAACTATGGAAAATCATCATGCAGATTTAGAAAGTGGAGCTTAAAGGCATCATGGGAACTCGAATGTTATACATATATGTTAAGATGTGGTAAATGTTAACATGTTCAGCCGAACCACAGAACATGTGCATCCGGTATGGCATTGTGGGAAATGTGGTAGCTTTAGACAGGAAAATTAGATGGTAGTAAAAGTTTGGGGATAGTGGTTTGTGGAAAGCTAAAGAAGGTAATTTATATGGTAAGAAAATTAAAAGGTATCAAGTAATGGTAGTGTTTGCAGTGTAATGTATATAATGTTGATTTGAAGGCATGAGGATAGGAATGGTTATATTTGTATCTATACATGATGTAAAGCTGTTAATGGCAGTACAATAGATAAAATGTATATGATCATCACATTTATAAAAATTAAAGGTTCTTTTAAGTATATATTAAAATTTTTGCTCTCTGAAATTTAAATTTACATAATTGAGAATTGCTGACTAATGCTGCAGATGGCAAAATGAACAACTCTTTAACATATTTAAAAATCTAAAGTAGATTACTCATTGTAATTAAAAAATACTATAATAGAAAAAATTGAAGAAGAAATCTGTGTAAATAAAGTTCAGATCCCTAATTAAAAATGTTATTGTTGTCCAGTTGAAGTCATTGGCCTTTTAATACTTGATGGAATTATTTTCAAAACAAAAAAATGACTGTCAGAATACTTGATATATGTTCGAGTTTTGCATATTGATGTTAGGAAAACAAGTTTATTAATTTTCAAAAACCTTTTAACATGTGATGGGTGTTCATCAGACAAGGGGCACTGACTTGGTTTTACTGTTAATCAACTTTATTCCCCATAGCCTTAATTGTGGTAGTCAATTAATACTCTTTTATTTAATATTATTTCAAAGATTTAATTCTGTTTAATGAAAATATACAGTACAATAAAGAAGATAAATGTTTCCAATAAATACAACACCCTTAACTGCGGAGAAATATATATATATATATATATATATATATATATATATATATATATATATATATATATATATATATATATATATTAGAGTTTTGACATTTGAAGGATTTCCAGGAAAATGTTGAATCAAAAGGTCAGTCCGGAAAAATTTTATTGTACTTGCATGTCTGTTTTAAATGTATTTACAGAGAGAAGAAAAAAAAATCTATACAGTTGCAAAAGCTTGTTCATTCAGAGATAAGGCATGTCTGGGAAGGATGGTCAAGGTGGACAAAGTCAGAATGGTCATCTGTCAGAGAAAAGTCAAAACCAGAGCTCCGGGGGGACAAGCAGCGGAGCACCGAAGAACTGGTATCTCTCAGAAATACTACAAATGATGTAAGTACATGTGCAGGAAAGTATGAAAATGTTTGTATAGACATATACTACAGATTATGAAAGTTTACCTACAGCTAATGATGCATAAAGGGTGCAGTGACTATTGGAGGTGAATGAATGGAAGTTATTGGTATTTGTAATTCCATTACTGTCTCCTTGTTCATTCAATAACCTTCTAGAACAAAAAAGAATTTAATTTGTTGGAGTAATTCTCTACAGACATCCTATTAAGTTGCTTTTAAGAAGAGCAAGTTCAGTTTTAATGGTTCTTTGACAAATGATTTAATATTAGAAGCATTAGGGAGAGGATATTGTGGGCATGGCTTTTATAAGAAAAAAAAGAAACCTTGACATTTAAAAAAAAATCACTTTTAAAGAGCAAGTCAAGGTTCTTGCAAGTAAAGACAAACTTTTTGTTTGTGTATAACATTCTTATTTTGTAGGCTAAAACAAAAAACATAAATGTTCAAAAAAAAAAAAAAGACTGTACCTGGATAACTTGATCTTATGTCCATATAATATTGTCGTGTTTGAATATATTTGTCTCTTACTCCCTTTTGTCTCCATTTGATAAATGGCAAACTGTTCTGCATAAGGGAAATAAAACCAGAAGAAAAAGGGCAGACTCTTTTTGAATCACCTTTTGACAGCAGTGAAAAGACTGCAGAACATTGGCTTACATGGTAATGTTTTATTTTGCCCTAATATTGGCTGAGACATGTTTTTTCCCTGTCAATGTGAACGTACGTATCATGCTGCAGCATGGTCTATAACTTCAGGGTATATAAAACTTATGTATATTTATTCTGATTTGGTTTGTTGGTATACCGCTTGCTAATTCTGATTGTTGGACAATTATTTGATGTTGTGGTAGACCTTCAGTCTGATTTCTGGTGTTTGTGGTTGAGAGGGTAGTCTGGGTCTAGAGGGCAGTATGTGCTAAGTAGATATTGAATGTTAGAGGTGTTAATATACAGCTTAGACCCAAAGTCGGTACAAATTTTAGGGTACTAAATTGCTTGTCTATTGTCTCGTCTTAACCTCCTGTTATGGGGATTAAATTCATCAAGAGCTGCCTTAAGGATGTGATTTGGATTTTCTGTTTTTTATTCGGGCTCCGTGCATGTGTGATTTTACTGAAACTAAGGTTTTGATGTTTAATGGTTAACTTTGAATGTTTTGCCCTTCCCTTTTCAAAAGAACAGAGTAATTAATTTTGTTCTGTTTTACTGTCAACTAAATGTCTCGTTCATACATTAATTAGTTTGGGGATTATGTACCTTCTCAAGAAAAAAAGGTTGGAAAAGGTATAGAGAAAACTGGGAATTCAAAATATATATTATTCAAATGCTTACAATAATTTTTTGTGTCAAAGGTCATGGAGGTCAAGATTGGAAAACAAATAAATATTATTATCATTAATTCAAGATTGAATCAAATGATAAAGAAAATTATAGTATTGATAGATAAAAAATGAAAGTCACCATTGTCAGATTTTACATGAAAGATTGGTTTAATAACAATATTTCCATATTAAATATGATAATGAGTCTATAAGTGATATGTACATGTAACAATACAGAAAATCGGAAAACGATATGCTTTACAATACTTGCTTTCTTGTGAACATATGAATGATAAATATATAGTTGCAGTACATATTGTGATCTGGATGAATTGATAGAATAATCCCTGACTGCTATTGAATCCGTCTGATATAAGTCTCTTGTTTATTATTATTTTTTTTAATAATTAAGTAAGTATACTGAACATATAGGCAAATACTTGTGAAGAATTGCTCAAAAATCACATTCGTGGTGGAAAAAGTAGATATATAAAATGACCTTTTTTAAATATTTATGATATATTCACAAAAATTGAAAAAATCATTTAATTCTCAATATGTTGTAAACTGTCATCCAAAATGTATTGTGCATTGCCTATAATACATAAATGTATCTTAATTGTTACAAACTTACTATATATTATTACAGTAACTCATTCAAATAGAATCCTCAGTAAATTTTGTTTGATTTTTTATCACATCGAGGAAGATTACTCAATAACAATTTTAAATTAGTTGGATGACATTAACTAAAGCAGCTAAAACAGATCACTGAAGTTCTAATCATATGAATGACAGTTACGTGAAGTAATTATGAAGGAAAATTAAGTGAACTTTTTAAAAAATGATTAGATGCCATTTTTTTATGAAAAAGGCAGATGGCAAGTTACGAAGAATGCAAGATAAGAATATTCTAATCAGAAATTTTGAAAATGGGAGACCTCAATTCTCCCCAGACTGAAATATTGTGATTAATGGAAGCCAATGGAAATGGTTAAGCATTGCTAAGAAATGGTAAACCTTGAGACAGAAACCACTGGTGATGAAGTCTTTGTTGATTTTGGAGAAACATTTAAGCTTTTCTTTTGTTTGAAATAATTTATTCATTGGCTCATCAGGAATGGGGAAATTAGAGAGAGGGTAAAAAAAAAGCATTTTAGCTAGTCCATACCCAATTGGCTTTATTATGTGAAGATCACCTGCATTTCATTTGATAGGAACAAAATATCGCACAAATATTGACATGCAACTTGTATAATGTGCATCTTCAGAAAATATAATGTGCAAGCAGTTTTGGTCCTTTGTGGCCATACAGTATTCTCCCAATGGTTTCATTTTTAATGGAAAAAACAACTTTAATTAATGCATTCAAATATAATTTGATTTTAATGTTCTACTATTTCATATTTTAGGTAGGAAAATGAATAATTCATTTTTATTTCTAAGAGAAAGAAAAAAAAGTTGTTTTATGATTCCTCAATTTTTCCCCCTGTTAATGTGCAAATTGGGATATAATAATTCTCTACTTGAACATTATGGGGTGAAAAGCATACTCTGTCTAGATCAGGTGTCCTTTTTTGTGCATTGCAATTGATTCATGCACAAGGGTGATTAATAGATGTGCAGCATGTACACCAGGTCCCCACTTAGAACATCAGACAGAAGAACCTGATTTTCATTAGTGATAATACAAGAATTACATGATACTATAGAGAAGTAGAAAGCCTATAATATGATAGGCTTTTAATATGGCTTCATACAGCAGGAAGAAAATGGAGATTATGAATCTCGGTAACATCTAAATTGAGCTCATTGAGAAAATATAATTTACTGTTCATTGGTTTTAATGCAGGTGGAACCAATATTCTTTTTTCAGAGGTTGCAGAATGGGTCTTTTATTACAACTAATGATACTTTAATGTCATCACAATAAAACAATTAGATTAATTGGGGTACCTTTTTAAAAAAAATTCTATATAATTAAGTTTCAAGAACATTTTAGACTGAATTTTGTGCAAATACTACATTTTAAGCTCTAGATTTGCCTCCAGAAAGCTTATAGGTACTGAAAGTTACTGATTTTCCAGGGTTGGTATTGACACTTGGTGTGTGGTCTTGACTAATGCCTGCTATACATTTTTGACAATCAGTTTTATTTTCTCTGAGGTAGGTATATAAGATCACAGATTAAATTATTGGCAATTAAGAGAAGTCAGTAAGTTTCGGTATAAATGGGAAATGGGATTTCACTACCTAATGTGTCACTCTTTATTCATCCTGCAATGAAAAGGGGGTTATATTTGGCGTACCATGTCTGTCCATCTATCTGTATGTTAAGCTCAGCGTTCAGATCCCAGTAGTACTTGCTTATCTCTAGCAGTATCCCAGACAAATTTTGATTTATATATATGTGTGAATGAAACCTTAATGAAATGTGTGCTTTGATTTTTTTGGGGGGGGAGGGGGGATATCCAGTCTCATCTTTACTTCCTACAGATAAAAAGTCAGTATGACCTATAGTATAAAGCAGATCTTTCTCATATGAATTTTTTTTATTATGACCAACACTTCTATATGGAACCCCTCAAAGAAAAATATTAAATTTTGAAATGTTTATGTTTAGGAGGACAATGCCTTTACACTCCCTTTCTTAAGAGGGGTATTCTCATGCAAAAACATTTTTATGTGAGGAGGCAAGGAAATGATGAGTTATAATTAAAATGCATTCATTAGTGATTGTTTTGTAGTGATTTTCATTCATAAACATCGTAAACACTGGGGATTATGAATGATGAAGTAAAATGGTTGGTCATCACGTGATATAAATGTCGCCAAACAGTCAAATTAACACCTTGTTTGTCTGTTCAAACCACACAGGTAGAAATTTTAATTTACAACACATGCCAGCTAAACACTTCAATTTATACAATTGTGGTTATCACACATTATATTAAACCTTACTAATACTTTTGCCGAGGGGGGTTTGTGACTCATTGTTTCAGGAGTGACCAGACAAAATATTGTATTCTGTCCCCTCCGAAACAAAACAACAAAACTCAGTTAGTGTAAGTAGTTAAACTCTATGCCAATGGGAGGGCCGCTAATATAAGCTTTGGACGCAAGTTTCCTGGCGACATTGGTCAAATTTTGAAGCGTGAAAACCATTTAAATACTCATGTGTTTTGAACACAGTGAATTGTTCTTTAGTATGTATTTGGTAGTTTTAGAAAAAATTAGCTTGTTTTAAATAACACCTATGTAATCCTTAGTCACCTGTCCATATAATCCTTTTACATAGACCAATGGAAAGTGTATAAAGGGGGAGGGGGGAGGGGAGTAAAATTAAGTATTAATTTAGGTATAAGGAAGGGAAAGCAAATATTTCTTTTTAACATTGTAGAGCTTTGAGGCAGCTTGGATTAGGCTCTGTTATATAAATGTAGTAATTATCTAAATTAATTTTCAGCAGGCATTCAACAGACAATTCAGAAAATCATATACCTATTGGAAATAACTTTAAAATAAAGGAAAAAAAAACTAAATCTGTAATTACTTAAATGTGACATTTTGGCTGAATTAAAACATGAACATTAACTTTTCTATTAAGTTTTAAATCTAAAATCACAGTGATATTGTGTACTAGATTATAATTTCT